AACACTGACTGCCATATTGACAACCAACAAAGCAGTAGGTAGGAAACTGTACCTTGATCAAGAGGAGTCCAACTGGCTGGCAGAACTGGTTGGCCTTCTCATAGAGCGTCAGGCCAAGGGCAATCAGGCCTCTGCTCATCCTGGCCCTTTACTCTGGGCAGCTAGGACCACCAGGGGAATCCATTCCTTTGGTCAAGGGCATCCATCCATAACTGTATCCCCTCCCCGCCCCCAACAACATAATGACTTGTCATCTGCAGTGGATTGTTGGATTTTCCTTTTTCTGTTTCCCTTTCCTTGACAGAATGGGGAAGAACCCTTACTGGGAGTGGGGGAGCTTATTTCTGACTGTTGGAAAAAACGAAAGCAGGAATTGTTGTCACGACAATTAGGAGCTCATCAAAGCCTCATTTTGCTCATCAGCCATCATTGCCCTCCGTCCTGCACCCCCGCATGTTCCTCTAATTCAATGCCCGCCTAATGAATAACTCCTAGGAACAAAAGACCCTTTCAGGCTGGCTCACATAATTATTAGAGGAGACTTGCATAACTGTCGCAGACTACTCATGTTTTCAGGCCTGTCTCTAAATTTGGTTATTCACAACCTTTATAGCTCAATATTATTGCCTAACTGTGATCATTTTCTAATTATCCTAATAATACCTATTAAATAATTCCCATTAAATCACTTGAACCAGAGCAGCACAGGCCAGCTCAAACACAACTTAACCTAATAAGCATTGGTCATTCATTAAGCACCAGGGCAATCTCTTAAAGGGGCTGAATAGAATATTAAACTGCAAAGGAATATTATTATTGCACAAATGTTATTACAAGTTAGAGTGTATTAATTTTGATGCCTGGCTTGCAAGTCTTCCATTTGCTTTCCTTTGGGGCCAGTCTCTGTAAGTTGACTCTTTCAGTCTCCAGCCCCTTGTTGATCTGCATCTGTCACCCGCCCAAGGACAATCAAAGAAAAAAAGGCACATAGACTTAACAGGGGAATTAAATTACCAAGGATATAAAGGCAATGAATGGAATCCATCTTCTGGCTGGGTTAACACACCTTTGAAAACACCACAAGCTGGGACCGGGTTTCTTTGGCTGATTTAAAAATAACCTTTTGAATTAGGTGAGGGAGTGAGAGAGATTTTCAGAAGCTTTAAAAATTTAGGTTCTAGAGTTTAAACTTCAAGCAGTAAAGATTAGGCAGTCGGTTCTTTAAAAGTGTATGTGTGCGCTTAAAGGGTGTCAGATGATCAGCTATGGAGGTACTCTTTTCTGATAATATTCCTTTCTCTTAAT